CACCATACAACTATGTATAATCTGACCTAATCTCATCAGACAGCACGACATCATCATTGCCGAGCTTTTACTAATTAAACCCCCCCAAAATGAGATCACTTAAGCGTATGTTTTAATTCTTTCAGCGAAGTTTTATACCACACAGATCCTAGATGAGACATTCTGACAATGTTCACACTAAACCAGCTCTATTCTTTTATTGCACTGATAATTCTTCTTGCTCCCCTGCCACAAGTTATGAGGGTCATAAATTAAAAATAGTTGTTCAAATTCCCCTCCATAATAAAAATAAAATATTTTTTGTGGGTTAGCTGGGGAATAAAAGAAGATGACTGGAGAAGGCCATACTGCACATTCTGAAAAGAAGTGTTAACACAAACGGGGTTTTATTTTAGTAAATTCCATAGTAGTAAAATTAAATTTCATGTTGGTATGTAGGACTATGCTGTGGGTAAAAAAAAAATACAAGAAAAATTCTCCAGCTAGTGTAAAACAAAGATGCCAAACTAAAGCCATTTTGGGCAATGCTACCATGCTCCAGCTAAGAATCTATCCCTACAGCTGGTTAATAAACAGGTTAAAAACATGAGTATTGTAAAAAGCCATCTTGTCGAACCATCCAAACGACAGAAGCCTGTCCCAGTCAGACTGTATCTCTGCAAACATTTATGCCAGGGAATAAGCATGCACATGAATGGTCTTATTGTTTTCCAGTTGACTGGGCAGGGCTGGGGCCTGTTCCTGGCTGTACAGGAGACGAGAATGTTGGCAACCAGCACAGCCGAGGTACTGGGAAGAGGGAAGGATTGGTGCTTAGATAGAGAGGAGGGGCAGACTGCTTTCTCTGGTCCAAACTCAGTTCAGCAAGGGTCCTACACCAAGCTAACTAAAATTAAGATAAACGTAAGTTTAAAAATAATTAGTTTTGGTCATTTAAAAATCATCAATCAGCAAGAAATGAACAAAAAAAGCACCAAAAAAGAAATAAAACAAAAAACAACCAACCAAAAAAACCACAAACACCAAAATCAAGGGAAATATTTTCAAAATACACTTAGAAGGTGTATATTCAGAAGGGGGATTATTTGTATGTTATCCTGATCCAGCTCATGCTGACACCCAGAACCAGTGATGAAAAGCTTTGGTCTCAGGCTCCACAGGAAAGGGCTCAGTGCTGCCCTTTCTGTTGGCAGCCAACAGCACCATTAGCTGTGTGAAGTACACAGGTCCAGACCCGCAGCAGTCTCTTGAGAAAGACCACAGATATTTCCTGGTTACAGTAAAAATCCAGGCAGAAATCCTGACCTGAAGAGAGAATGCTGCAGGCACACATCTCCCTGCAGCAGGGCCCAAAGAACTGGCATGGGTCCAATTTTGGCTTTCTGGGAAAGAAAGTAAACACTAGGGAGCAGAATCCATTCGAATGAAGAAGTGGTTAAGAAACCCTGAGTGACCTACTTGGGAACCTCTTCTGATGCTTCTGAAAGTGAGTTAACAAAGAACAAATGAAATAATCTCGGGGAACGGTGCCTGACAACTACAGCCCTTGGATGCAAAGCAGTCAGGAATTCATGAGCTGCATGTGTGTCCATGAATGTGTGTGCATGCAGCTGTGCACACTGGACTTCAGCCAGCCTGCAAAGAGTTAATCAGGCCACGTTCACTTAGCAGTCCTGCACACCTTTATTTATAAGCTACCCACCATGTTGACATCTAAGCAATAACCAGAATTAGTTTTTTCCCTTAGGTCATAGACAGGGAAAACTGCCCTTCAGAGGGGAAGTCACACAGGACATCTGGATCAGGCTGTGATCAGTCTGGAACAGAAACCTCCTCTGCAGCAAGATGCAGCTCTTGTTTGGCAACCCTGTCAAAAATCTCCTTCACATCAGAGCTTGCCAGCAAGAGCTTGATTTAGTTCAGCTCCCTGGGGAATGGTGGGATCTTTGTTTTGAAGCAGCAGTCTGAAGTGGTTCTGCTCCAAGTTGTGAGAGCTGTGGGTTCAGGGAGTCAGACAGAAAGTATTTCAGTGGAGCAGATGACCTGATTCAACAGCTCTGGATACAGATTGCCCTGTGATCTGTTATTCTTCTGCCTGGATATTTTACCTTGCCTTCAGTCTACTTGTTTACTGTGCTCTGGGACAGGGACTGGTCATTACTCTGTACCTGCACAACATACAGAGCAGTGAACCTCCTGCCACCTGGGCCATGCAGGTTAACACAGCTGTGAGCACGTCCCTGTAGCTGAAGCTGACAATACTGTAGATGAATGTAGAGGGATTTGCATGATAAACAGATGCCCCAAATGTGAGGCACATTGTGCTGCTGCTGCTACACCCAACTTTGTGAGGTCTTTCCCTGGCCTTTCCTCCTCCCAGCAGGAAGAAGTGGTTTTATGTCACTTTTATGGTGTTGTATTTTCTAAGATAGTTGTGTGTTTGTCTAGCCTGGGGGGCTGAGCAGCCCAAGGCCTACACTGTGTGCCAAAACGGCTTATTTCAATAGGAAAAAAAAAGTAGAACTCAAAGTATGGCAATGCAACAGCTTTTCTTCCCCATGAACACATGCTCTGACTGGGATTTAAAGATGACAGTTTAACACCAGCATATGCTGCCCATGAACTTATTTTGGAGGGGTGAGGAGTGAGGAGAGAGGAGAAGGAAAGACTCCACTTATCATCTTTTTTATTACTTTTAGATCACTGGAATAAAATAAAGAGGCTGCAATGCAGCATTCAGCCAGGCCCAAGGTATTGGCCCAAACTGCACCTTCAGTAAGGTCAGAAGATACATGGTGGGAACAGGGACTTTTTTCCTTCCCTATAAATGCTGAAGTACTGACTGACTGCTCAAATAAATACATGTGAATAAATGCATGGTAAAACTGGGCTTAAAGAGAGACTAAAGCAAACACTAACCTTTTTATAGCAACTTATAACAAAGATTTGCCTAGATGGCAGGCTTGTATAAAGAAGTAAATTATCCTACTTTCTTTGAGCAGTATAGAGATGCTCTACAGATTGGTTCATAGAGCAGCCTCTCCAGTAAATAGATGTAGTTCAGAAAGAAGTGAATAATATCTATAAAAACTTAAGCTATAGGTCAGTTAAATCAATAATGAAACATCATTCAGTGACAGGATGAGCTGGCAAAATAGGGTAGAAGTCCATTCTTGTTCATAAAAGATTTCTATTACTTCATGGCTGCACTCTACAAAAGCCTTCAAAGTGCTGTGGAAATGGCAGCTGCTCCCTCCATGCTCCTGCGTGGTGTCTGAGGGACATGGCATGCTGCAAGGGTGTGGTGCTCTGCTCCAAGCAGAGACCAAGAGCACTTCAATAAAACACAGATGCTACAGTTCAGCCAGCTTCGAAGACTTTGAAGATAATGATACCCTGAAATCACCCTGGGGGATGATGTATCTGCCAAGAAAGAAGTCAAATGTTTATTAAAGAAGGCAATAATACTATTAATTAAATAATACAAAGTCCAAAAGCTCTTCACAAAGAGGAGGAAAGAAAAAATGCTGTTTTCCTTCCCTGCTTACAGTCCTGCTGCAGGTCACTTTGCTCTTAATGTCTCCTCAGCCTTGCAGCAAAGGTATAAACCAGGAGTAAGCCCACAATGTGATGTGGCTAAAGGGCCAACCCCTGCACGTGGTGTGCCACACTTCTGGTTTCCATGCCATCAGACTTTATTAAGATTACATCCTGAGCCAAAATTCCAAAGTACACTGGAGACACCAAAAAAAGTTCTTGCAGGTGACTGAGAAATGATACTCAAACCCAAATGCACAGTGTCCAAATGCAAAGCTGTCTTTCCAGCTGGAATATGAGCCTGGGGAATCATCACTATGAATTTGGTGTCTTCCTATAGGCTTTCTTTAGCAGCCTGTGTCAGCTGGAGCCAGAGAACCAGGGTTAAGCCACTGCTTTTTGCAGCTCCACTGACATCTGCAGGAGCTGGGGCTCTCTTGAGAAAGCTTTACCATGATATTCAATGCTCCTCACAATGGGAGAAAAAGTTGTCTCACTTGCTGCACTTATTGTTCTTCACTTTTTAGTTACCTACAACTGAAAAGAACTCATTAAAATGGCATGTCTTTTCACAGCACCCATTTCAGGCTGTTATTCCATGGTTAGATGCTCAAGATTAATTCAGTCCTGCCAACTGCGTTTAGGTTCCTTCCTATGAGAGGATGAGGAGGGTATGTGAAGATGGATGCCAACCTGCAGCCTGGTGGAATGAGAGAGACTGGTGCTGAGGCTCACTTGGGTGGCTGGAGAGGCTGTGCTGGGACTTGGGCTAGAGAAGAGGCTGGTGTTGGTATTTGGGTGGCAGAAGAGGCTGTGTTGGGGCTCATTTGGGTGGAAGAAGCAGCTTGAGTTGGACGTCCCTAGGGCTGGCGTTGGATCTGGTTCCCGTGTCTAGCAGAAGCAGCATCTCCAGTGCCATGGCATTGCATGTTGGACCTTCCCAGGTCAGGGATAGCTGTACGCTGGTCAGAGATGTGCCAGAGGCTCTGCTGACACTCACTGAGCCCCTCTGAGAGCCTGAAGCGAGGGATGCTGAACCAGGGCATGGCACTGGCACAGGCTTCCTGGAGAAGCTGTGGATGCCCCATCCCTGGGGGTGTTCAAGGCCAGGCTGGATACGCCTTTGAGCAACCTGCTCTGGTGGTTGGCATCCCTGCCCACGGCAGCAGGGTAGATGACCTTTAAGGCAGATGACCTTTAAGGCCCCTTCCAACCCAACCCATCCCACGGTCGCGTCCCTGCATCGATGTCACACGACCCAAAGGCAGGCCAGCACCTGCCGCTCAGGTGTCCCACCAGCTCCGGCGAGCAGGGTGCGGGCCCGGCCACAGCACGGCCGCCTCCCCCGGCCGGGCCCGGCAGGGCTGGAGCCGCCTCCTGACGTCGGGAACCTGCGGCGCGGGGGCGGAGCGGGGCGGGCGCCGGGAGCGGCCCGCGGGGCAGGCAGAGCCGGCTGGCGGGGCGCGGTGCCCGGCTGCCACCGCGCCGAGGGCCGCAGCAGGTAGGGCGGGCGGCGGGCGGGGGGCTGCGGGGCCGCCACACAAAGGGCTGTGCCGGCTGCTCCCGGCTCCCTTTCCCGGGCGCTTTGTCGGGGCCGCGCTGTGTCGGGGCCGCTCTCTCGCATGTCGTGACACGGGCGCGGCAGCCCGGAGCGGCGGGGAGGCGGCGGGGGCGGGCGGGCTGTCCCCGTCCCCAGCCGAGGTCACTCATGCCCACCTGCGCGCACCGGGGCCGCCGGGGCCGCTGAGGCGGCGGTCGGGCCGGGCAGCGCCGCGCAGCTCGGGGAAAATGGAGATCTCCTTCCCCCGGTGCGCTTAGGAATGCAGCTGGGAGCCCGGGAGGTGGGTGAGGGGAAGGCGAGAGCCTGGCGTGTGCCGCTGGATCTTCCTTCATGCGGGGAGAGGCGAATGGGATGTTGTGGGAGAGGCAGGCGGCGAGGCCGCAGGAACAGGCTGCCCGCAGCCGGGCTGTAGCAGCGACAACAAACAGGTGTGGCCGGGAGAGTGGCCGGTGAGTGCCGCACGCAGGTCACAGCTGCCGCCCCTCCGCCCGCCGAGCACCGACAGCGCCGCTGGGAGCCGCAGCCTGCCTCTCCTGCCCTGCCTTAGCAGAGCCCTGTGGTGTTTGGACCAGCCGTGTAGCCAGGGAGGAAGGAAGGATTTGTGTGCTCCCAGCTTACATCAGTGTGGAAGTGGGATGAGCAATAGGGAGGTTGGTCCCCTCCCTCCCAGCGCTGGTGTAAGCGCTCCTGGGAATGCACTGTGAAAGGTTAGAGGAGCCACGTTATGTCACCTCACTGATGTGCTGGTCCGTATCTTTGATGATGGGGGAGGCTCAAGCTGTGTAGCACAGTGGTAGTGATGAGGAAATGTTCTGGAAAAGAGATCTTAGCTATTTTCTCTTTTTCCCCCTCCACCATATTTCATCATTTCATTGATTGGATTCAGCCGGATGCTTCAATTTTTAAAACAATCCTTTCTTCAGATCTTTACTCTTACTTTGCCGTGGGAATATTTCCAGGGCTGCAGAGCTCCTACACATGGCACATGGGCAGCAGGTTCTGGCAGACACTTCACAACTGCTTGTTGTCACCAGAGATTTCAGATAGGAACACGAGTGCATGAGGCAGCGTTGGGTCCCATGGTAGGGGGAAATTTGGCAATGGCAGCTACACACTGTTGTACTTGCACACTTCATTAATAGCTCACTGTGTCTGTGGGTTTTTTTGTGTTTAGGATGTATAAAGGTTAAGTGCCAAGCGCCAAAATGAGCGTGACTTCGTGGTTCTTGGTGAGCAGCACTGGCATTCGCCATCGGCTCCCTCGGGAGATGATATTTGTTGGCAGAGATGACTGTGAACTGATGCTCCAGGTAATGTGGCTTTTTTTGGGGTTTTTTTTGTAATTACTTTTTCTGAAGATGCAGTAGATATGTATGTAATGCTGGGGATCTGTAGAGATGTTTGATGCTTTCTTCAAGTGACATCTTTTAAAAGGAACTTTCTCTTTTTATCCTGAGTCTGTGTTTACCTTGAAGATTTCATTTTTGTGACAGCGCAAGTGAGGTTTTCAAATTGCCATGTCATCAGATGGATAGGATCCGTAGTGGTGGGAGATTAATCAAATAGATTAACTGTCTTGATGCTACTAGAAGCAATAAACAAAGACATACCATTCTGTCCTGATCTGTGATTATGCTGCTGTTTTTTTTAGCTCTTAATACATGCACTGTTTACATGTGATTTGAATGCAGGCAGGGCTTTTTGTTTACCTGTTTTTCCCTTTAAGTTTGATTAAATTATTTATGCTGGTATTTCTCAGGTGTTTTTATCATGGTAGAAAATACTGATGTTTAGCAGAGGAAATCTGTTTTGGTGGGCTGAGTAGGCTGGTGGCCTCTTCCCAAAGTAATTGTGTTACTTGGGCAAACTTTCAACTTCTGTTACCACTTTCCATACCAGCATGTGTCTCTGCTGGACCTAATCCAGCATGTCTGAAGTGTTGACTGTGGTCTGATGTTTGACAGCATAGTGTAGTAGATGTCACTCCAGACAAACGGAGCTGGAATCTTGCAAAGAGCTTTTGACAGGAGCAGTTTAGCTCAGGAATTTGTAGAAGCTTAGAATTAAATTAGTACTTCTGCTAGACCCATGCCACGAGTACTTAAGTGCACAAAAAATGTTCTATTGCACCTGCCCATCCCCCTTTTGCCTCTTTGTGAAGGTGGCAAATGTTCCTGTTGGTGACAAAATTAGGAAGCTGCCTGCACAATAGAGACTCCCTCCTCATAATTTCCACTGCTGACCTGATCACAGGTATGTCCTAAATGCTGTGCTGATGATCTACTGAGGAGGCTGTGTTTGTAGTTGCTGCAGGGAAGTTGTACGATACGTTAGTAGGAGGTCTGTTTAGAGAGGTAGAAGTTCTTGTACGAAGTGTACTTGAAGGGCCAGGTGCTGCCTAGCTGTAATAAAATATCAGTGTCCACAAGAGGAGAGCTTGCAGTGTTTGTCCTGCTCTGTCTGCTGGCAGTGAGTGGCACAACCGTGCTGCGGTGGTGGAGTTGGGAGCTCCTGTTCCACAGCACATCTTTTGTTTGGGTTCTCCCATGAATCACACTACCTCTTATTTCATGTTTCTACATGTCTGGCTGGTGAGGTGTGTAAAGGTGAGACATTAAAAATATCCTGATACTTGCTGTACATCTGCATTTGGATGCTCAGGAACCTGATTGCCATCTTCTCTCATGACTTGGAGGGAGAAAACACACAGTGGCCCTGGTTGCCAGAAATGGTCTGAGTTTTAGGCTGCCCATCTTGATATCTTGGGAAGCAACTTGAGGGTTGTTTTTTTTACTGTTGGCTTTCAGTACTCTGACAGTCACGTCTCAAGCTGTGCACTCTAAAATAAAAGTACCCAAATACCAGTTATGTTTAAAATGGACAGCTTGTGTCTCTGGTTACTTATGGGCATAACTGAATGTCGTGGATTGTGAGCCACTCCATATCAACCAGAGTATTTCATGCTTCTTTGGAAGTCTGAGCTGGCTTGTCAGTGTTGCTTGTGGAGTACCCAAACTTGTGATGCTCTTCATTTGCCATGTACTTTTCTACAAGGCAAATGAATTGAGATTGCTGGAGGAGCCAAGAATATCTGTGAAACAGTTGTATCTGGGTACTCATAGGTGGTGGGTGGTATTAAAAGAGGTTTCCATTATTTAACCAGAGTGAAGGCTCTGGATTGTCTATAAAAGCCAGCAGCTTCTGCTCATGGGGTGAGCTACATGTGACTCTTTAGAAACATACTGGTCTGCTAGCTCCAGTAATAAAGCATTTTCTAGGCTCACATGTAAGGTCTTGTTTTGAACAGCACAGCACATTCTTTTCCTAGCCATTTGCTTATAAAGATGTTTTCCAGAGCTACCTGAGGCTCCAAATGAGATGTTTGTAGTAAGACAGTGCAGAAGAGAAATTGTGAACAGAGAGACTTGATATCCAAGCAGAATTGTATATGAGCAGATGGAGGATGAGATCTAAAAATAGACTTTTTCCCTACTGTGACTGTCCATGTCACAGAATCGTTGTGCAGACTGGCGCAATCATTTGTCTTGAGGGAAGCTTAAGAAGCAGGGCAGTTATCAGAGCAGATGGACAGAGCTCTTGTGGCAGTTGTTTGCACCTTGTAGTATTTCTATGGTACTGACCCTGAAACTTTATATTCACTGCATGGTTATTTTTCATGCATATTTCAAGATATTGGCATTTAATCCTTTAAAGTGCACAGCTGGGAACAGACTGGCAGTGACTGAGTGACCTAGTCAGTGTTTTTTCATCTCTAAGGCTGTTACTGCTTATTGATTTCATCGTGATATGGTTTGTGGTTCCCTGTTGAGACCATGTGTAACACAGTACTCAAGCATACAACACGGAGATAATCCTTGTCCTGGAGACCTGCAGTCTTGCCTTTCTCATTTTACTGTTTTAGAAGTGTCTTGTCTTTTGATGATTTTTTTGGAATGTGCTGTCTCAAGGTGTCAGATCTCTAAACAGCAAAAAAGGATGGCTTTGTCACCAAGCAATCAAGTTTTAGTTTTGTCTGGTTTTCTTGTTTCATAGTACAAGTAGTGGATTTGCTTTCTGATTAACAAAGAGGTGAAGAAACCCAGAGTCTTTAATCTTAAAACTGAGTAGGTCTGATAATTGTGAAACATAATATACCTTGATATCTTCTATACCTACTAAGAGGATTAGAAATATTTTAAATGTTTTTGCAGCCCTGTAAAGCTTCTAATACAAGTAAATGCGAGATTTACGTTGGGTTTCTATGTTAATGCATGGGTGAAAATGCCATGAGGTGTAGCTGTAGTTTGGTATGCAGTGTTGCTTCCAGAGCCAGGGCTCACTTCTGCCTGTTTTCTAAGAAAAGTGCTTGATTTCTTCAACAGCCTTGCTGGTTCCTTCAGGTAATAGCCAACAAACTACAGGAGTATGGAAATCTGGACCTTCACTAACTTACACTGGTGTGGGTTTTTAATGTTAAACTTGGCAGTGGTAGGAAATAATGCTCTGAAAAGATCTACTCTGTTTTTAAATCAAAAATAAAAGAATTTTGGTATCATCTTGAAGAAAATATTTTTTCCCTCTCCCCAGCATCCTTCTTGGGAAATGTAGCTGCCCTTTTCTTCAGCTTTGATCACTTGCTTGATGCGATGGGTACTCAGGGGACAAACATTTTTGCAAACTCAAAAATTTCACTTAACCATTAAAACATTCCCCTCTGCTCCTAAACAGAACTTTTTTTTTGCATTTTTACTAAATGTAAATATTTAATAGAACGGAAAGTAGCATCATGATTTCCATGTTTTTGTTTGAGAGTGATGTTTACTGGAAAATTTGGGGAATAGAAATGTTTAACCAGTGGTCCCCTGAGTATTTCCCTCCCTTCAGAGTGGTGCTCTGGGTGTGTAGTTGTCCTACACGAGTGTGAGTTTGTACATGAGTGTGAGTTACAGCAGGAGTAGGTGCAAGCAGCATAGTGCTTTCTGTTTTATGCCTTTATCATCCTGTATGCCTTTTGAGACAGTATGACATTTCCTATCAGGAGACACTGTTTGCAATTCCTTATAACTCTGCTAAACTTTGTAGCTGTTTGGGATGAGAGTTTATTTTCCGGGCGTCTGTTTTAGGCAGTGTGTTCTGGATGTGATCATTTATCTCCCTTCTTTGGTCTTAGCTGTGAGCAACTCTCAGAAAAATGTTGTTTTCTTCAGGTCAATTATTTAAAAGTATATTTAGCCTGTTCTTTGAAGTTCTGTCAATGTAGTAGAGCTGGGTCAGCGAAGCTTTTCAAGAGTGAATGACTAGGTTGGAGGTGGTGGTTTGTTGTTTTGTTTTTTTTTTCCTTAATCAATAGTCTAAATGTGTTTGACCAAGTTCCAAACGTTTGAATAAAAGCTGGAGTTTGAACGTGGTCAGCAGGGACTTATTTGATAGTATTGCCTTAAGTAATTTCATCTGGGAGTGAGGTTGGCACGGGAATGGAGTGGAGAAGTGTCACAGGTTGGGCAAAGAGGAACTGGGTGCAGGTATCCACAAGGCTGGGATGTAGATGTAAGAGCAGCTGTGCTAGATTAGATCAGGGTATGCCTAACCTGGCATCCGGGCTCAGTGGTCAAAGCAGCTGTCAAGGAAAGGGCAAGGACAAGCCAAGAGTGTAATGATACTTCCAAAATGCTTGTTCAGCCTCTTCACCTGTGTTACGGGAAGCCACAGGTCAGATCTTTGCATCTAGTGGTTGGATTTCTGCTCTATAAAGCTTCACCAAGAGATGAAGATTTGGCCACGTGAGGAAGTACAACGAGGGTTCTGTTTGTGCAGAGTGAGAGGAGGAGCAGCAGGACTTGGAGAAGTGGAGAGGGTGGTGCACACAGGGCAGAAGCTGCTCAGTGTGGGCAAAGCAGGCATTACAGGATGTGGCTGCTGAGCAGCATCGCCCTTGGGGCCTGAGATGGGTCAAGACTTGCTATTATTCTGGTGTTAGGAGAGAGCTGTAAAAGCTCCTAGCCAAGCCTAGTCACTGGTCCAGATGGGACTTCACATGCTGCTTATGATACTAATTAGTCAGTTCGAGTGGCAGGGCCTTGTGAGCTAACATACAAGTTCGTTCTGGTGAAGCACATAAAGGTAACAATATTGCATTTTCATCTTTTTAGCTTGCTTTGTTAAAAAGACAGGGAATTACAAGCATTCTAGGCACTGAAGGAGTATTTTTATGGCTGCTAAGTCAAGTGTTTATAACTGCAGAGCAGTTACAACACGCTAATGTGAAGGCTGCTGAAGGCTGCCTGTGTAATTCTGCCTCTGCCCCTGTGTA